TTTGAGTCTCATTTATACTAATTACTTTCATTGATTTATAATGTTGATTGGTTTAATCAATAAAAAGTTCAATAACTGGTTGGGCCTGAACAGGAAAGATAAATAAATGGTTAGACCATTGAACTTGATTGAATATTCAAATCAATTGTTTATTCAATAACCATTCAATTATCAACAGTTAATTCAAACTTACAAGCAGTCTTGTATTGATTTAACAGTCAGTTGCTCTGTTAATCGTATTCAATTGACAAGGAACAAGTTTAAATTGAATTATTAATGCAAAAAAATGATCAACCAAAGTCAAACTGTATTAATGTCTAAACAAATTTAGATTTTAATTTCTCATCATTCATCTTACATCCATTTTGATGTAAAGATAGTTTTTTATCTGAAAGGCTTTGAAATTTCAACATTTTATATTCAATTTATAAACAAAATTGCCTTTCATTTTTCAAGATTCATCTATACATTTTCAATTGAATACAATTTGATTATTTAGATTATCTTGGAAGGTGTTGCTAAAAGCTCAAATGAACCTGAACGAGCTTACAGAGGTTATGTTGCTGTTGATGATATATCAATATCTCCATTGGAAGAGACTGAAGGAGTTTGTCATGGTAAGATTGATTGAATGAAAAGGATTTTTTCGTCTTTTAACGGCTTTTTGTGGTCCATTTCTTTTGATTTTACTTTTAAGGCCATTGTACCTTCGAAGGTGGAATGTGTGGTTGGACCAATGAACCCGAAGCTGATGATTTTGATTGGAAATTGGGTCGAGGCTCGGACAATTTTTTCACCGGACCAGCCAGAGATTATTACAGCTTCAGTAAAGAGTATCCACTTGGAGGTTTCCTTTATATTAGTGCAGCTTATCCACGTCGACCAGGAGATAAAGCTGTACTAATTAGTCCTTCATTTCCAGCCACAGGTAATCAAATTTTAAGCATAAAACAATCTTTGGAACCATTCTCCTCCATCTTGTCACCATTGAACACTTAAACTTGAGGAGTCTTTAGCTTTTTAAAAAACAAATAGACTGTGAGGGATTTTTGGCCTGATTTTGGATCTTGTCAAATAATTGAATCTCATGCTGTTAAAACTAAAATAATAATTAATTAGTCTAAAAAGATATTAGTGATTAAACCTGACTCATGATTATATAACATAGGCTAAAGTTAAAAACCGTTTGTTTGCCACTAAAAAGTTGAAACGACCAAATGTGTCACCAATTTTTATTGGGCTATAGGCCAGGTGCTGTGAGGCACTGGATGATTTTGAAATCATCCCTTAGGGCGCCATACGATGCTTGACAAGCAATACATTGGTTAGTGTTTTAAATTACATCGAGTAATAAGGATAGGTAATATCGGCATTGGGTGTGTCTCGTTAACCTAATTTAGTTATTACAACTGAGTTTTATGTGTCTAGGTTGTTTTAATTGAGTTATTTATATATTTGTGAAATAATTGTAGTTAAGTAATTAGATATTTGTTCAAAATTGATAATAATGCACTGTTAAATAATTTATATATTAATAATGAACTTGAGGATAATGCACTGTTTCTTAAGAAAAGCATGGTTTTCGTGTAAAAAACGATTTCTGTCGTTGTTGTTATCAGAAATTTATCATTTTTGATTTCACAGGGTCTCCGTCGTTATTGTCGTCTTTCGGTCACAAAAAATTCAATAAAAGAAACTATTTTAAGGTCAATTTCATGTAAATTTGAAGAGAAGATTTTTCATGCGACTTCCTTGACAATCTTTTCGATTGTATTAAAGTTAAAAATCGATAATCGAAAATTAACTGTTTCTTTGTTTCATTTACCAGTTAGTGGACCGTTCTGCTTCAAATTTGCTACTCATATGTATGGTAATGGAATTGGTACATTGCGAGTTAAATATCGTCCAGGTGAAAGTAAAGATGATAAATCAGATAAAATTTTATGGGAAATGTCAGGTGAATCTGGCAATAATTGGTATCAAGCTCAACTTCCCATTGCTTCAGCTGTGGCATTTAATATAATATTTGAAGGAATCATTGGACCCAATTATTTAGGAAACATTGCCATTGACAGTATATCTATTGAACAAGGAGTTTGTCCAAGTAAGTTGACAAAATATTATCCTTATTTTGATCCTTAAATCTCCTTTTTACCTGTCTCATCCAATAAACCTTCATACAACCTTAAATTATGTAATACATTAGATTCACATTGACTTTGTTTCCCATTTTTAAACTTTTCATTTGCATATTCACCATATGCAAATGAATGTATTAATTTAATGTATTCAAGAGTTCAACTTGACCCAAAAATATAACTGGCTAACATGAAAGGAATTTTATAATCACTATGGAATAATCATTTTGGGTCAAAAAATGGTCATTTAATAGGTTACCCAGTTTTTGTCTCTCATTAACTGTATCACGGAAATGTCAAATTGTTGGTAGCCCATCATCATGTGTATGATTATGCATAGTGGTCATCTTTATAAAGTGTTTATCAACCAATAATCAGTGTGAATATAAAATTATTGTCCAGTATATTTTTATTAGCAATGATTGTTATTGATATTCATGGATATGATCACAGGAAATGACCTCAATCACATAATAGACAATGCATGTCCATAAAGGTTAAGGTTTCTCTATCATTTACTAATGGTTAATGGGGTCATTTAGGCTCATCATACAAAATTATCATGGAAAGAATGAAAATCACTGTGAATTTACTATTACACGCAATCAATTGATTAGGTGACTAAATTTGAATATTAATTACACAAAGACAATTTGTTTTCAATGTTTTCTTTTTTTTCATCGTCTGTCTAGTTTCACCACAAACTGCAGCCAGAAAATCTGGTGATTGTACCTTTGAGGAAAACATGTGTTATTGGACAAATCCGTTGCCCCATAGTGGAGTCGATGATTTTGACTGGATCAGACAGTTTAGCTTTGGTAATTATGGCCCTAAACATGACCATACCAAGAAAAATGCCAATGGTTACTTCCTAAGTCTTAATGGTGATGCCATTCAACCCTTGAGAGGTGGAACCTCGGCATGGATAATTAGCCCTGAATTTGAATCAAATCCTG